AGATAGATAGATAGATAGATAGATAGATAGATAGATAGATAGATAGATAGATAGATAGATAAAGATAGATGATAGACAGAGGTAAATAGATGAGATAGATAGATAGACAGACAGATAGATAAAGAGGTAGTTAGGTAGATAGGTAGGTAGGTAGATAAAGAGATAGATAAAAGAGATAGATTTGTAGATAGAGATAGATGATAGATAGATAGATGTAAATAGATGAGATAGATATAGATAGATATTTTACACCAAGAAGACATCTAATGCAAGTTAATGTTACAGCCACATCTGATTAGAAATTAATCTGCTTTTAATAATTGCAACTCGAATCGGATAAAAGCTTATAAATAATTCTGTTTGAATTTTTTTTTTAAAAGCACATCACTGGGAAGACCGACTTCAAAGGCCAAAGACTATAAGTGATAAGAACAGCCGCGGTTTCTCTTTCTGGAGAAGAGAGAGGGAGGGAGGGATGTAAAGGGACAGAGAGAGAGAGAGGGACGAATCCTATGGTTTAGCAAGGTTGAGAGCGGGGTTTAAGCAGAAGTTATTCTAGAAGGATTTTTCTCCCTGTAACGTCTCATGTAAGGATAATTGCAACTTCAAATTGGTGGTTAGAAGTGTGTGCAGGTCCCCGACAGGTGGGACTTTCCAGGATCTGCAAGTCTGCAGGTGGCTGGCATAGGAGGAATGTGACCAAATGTTAATGTATAAGGCTGAACATTCTTCGTTTCCTGGCCTGAGTTATGTTTTTTTCCTCTTCCTCCTCCTCCTCTCTCTCTCCCTTTCCCTGTTTCTCTTTCCCTGTCTCTCTTTCTTTTTCTCTCCCTCCCTCCCTCTTTTTCCCTCTCCCTCTCTTTCCATCTCTTTCCCTCTCTTTCCCTCTCTCTTTCCTCTCCCTCCCTTTCTTTCTCCCTCCCTCTCATTCCCTCTCTTTCCTTCTCTCCCCCTCTCTCTGTCTCTTTCCCCCTTCTCTCCTTCCCTTTCTCTTTCCCTCCCTCCTTCCCTCTCTTTCTGTCTCTTTTGCTCCCTCTCTTCCCCCTCTCTCCCTCCTGCCCTCTCTTTCCCACCGTCTCTCCTTCACTTTCTCTTTCCCTCCCTCCTTCTCTCGTCTCTTTACATTCCTCCCTCTTCCCCCTCTCTTTTTCTCTCCCTCACTCCCTCTCTCTCTTTCGCCCTCCCTCCCTTCGTCTCCCTCTCACTTTCTCTCTGTCCCTCTCTCTCTCTGTCCCTTTACATCCCTCCCTCCCTCTCTCTTTCCCTCCTCTCCCTTCCTCTCTTCTTCACTTTCCTTCTCTATCCCTCTCTCTCTCTGTCCCTTTACATCCCTCACTCCCTCTCTCTTTCCCCCCTCTCCCTTCCTCTCTTCTTCACTTTCCCTCTCTCCCCCTCCCTCTCCCCCTCCCCACCCCGCATTCTCTGCATGAGTAGAAGATAGATGAAGAGAACGAAGCCAACCTCCTAGCCGTCCTCACGGAAACGTTGGAGAGCATCCCAGTGGATGAAGATGGATTGCCTTCCTTCGATGCCCTGACAGACGGAGATGTGACCAGCGAGAATGAGGCTAGTCCTTCATCAGTGCAGGGCAGCACCCCTCCCCCCCAGGAGGCCGAAGAGACGTCTCTCGTAAGGATCTCCTTTCCTGGGGTCTCTGGGGGGAATGGCGCTGTGCCTTCGGACGGCCCAAAGCGGCGGGGGGGGGGGTGATGGCAATGCCACTGTCTAGTTGGTTCCTCTCGGCCAGTTGCAACGTCGAGGGAGTTAAATTCCAACTGGGAGAGGAGTTTTGAGGGGGTAAAATCTCTGGAAGAGAAAAACTTTCTCCAGGCCCTCCGTGTGGCTCTCTAGGGATTGGTTGCCTTCTTTTCCTTCGATTTGGGTCGGGGAAGGAAAAGGAAACGTTGCTCGTCCACGCAGTCTCCCTAGGGACCTCCGGGCGCCTTTGGGTGCATTTCCTTCAAAGCATCGGCTGCTCATTGAGGGAAGTTGGTTTAAGAGTTTGCTGACATTCGGGCATGATTAAAGTTAAAGGCTCTCTACGCAATGCTCAGCTCTTGTCAAGTTCAGCTCAATGAAAGGTCCTGAGAAAAGGGAGGGAGGGAAGAAGGAAGGAGGGAGGGAGGGAGGAAAAGATAGAAGAGAGCAAGGGAAGGAAGCAAGGGGAACGAAGGGAGAGTGGGAGGGAGGAAAGAAAAGATAGAAGGAAGGGGGAGGAAAGGAAGGAAGGGTGGGAGGAAGGAAGGAAAAGATGGAAGGAAGGAGAAGGAAGGGAGAGTGGGAGGGAGGAAGGAAAAGATAGAAGAGAGGGAGGGAGGGAAGGAGAAGGAAGGGATAGTTGGAAGGAGGAAAAGATCGAAGGGAGGGAGGAAAGGAAGGAAGGATGGGAGGGAGGGAGGAAAATATAGGAGAGAGCAAGGGAAGGAAGCAAGGAGAACGAAGGGAGGGTGGGAGGAAGGAAGGAAAAGATAGAAGAGAGGGAGGGAAGGAAGGAAGGGTGGGAGGAAGGAAGGAAAATATAGATGAGAAGGAGGGAAGGAAGGAGAAGGAAGGGATAGTTGGAGGGAGGAAAAGATAGGAGGGAGGAAAGGAAGGAAGGGTAGGAAGAAGGGAGGAAACAATGGAAGGAAGGAAGGAAGGAGAAGGAAGGGAGAGTGGGATGAAGGAAGGAAAAGACAGAAAGGAGGGAGGAAAGGAAGGAAGGGTGGGAGGAAGGAAGGAAAAGGTAGAAGAGAGGGAGGGAAAGAAGGAAGGAGAAGGAAGGGAGAGTGGAAGGAAGGAAACGATAGAAGGAAGGGAGGGAGGAAAGGAAGGGAGAGAGGGAAGAAGGAAGGAAAAGAGTTACAAATATTCTGCAATGAAAGAGAGAGACTCTTAATGTACTATAACTCTCCTAGATCAGCTTTCGGATTCAAAAATCACGGGATTTGGAGGTGATATTTCATAGCTTCTGGTTGGGGAAGCTCAGCATAAATCACCCAACCCATTAATCTATTGTAGATCTCACACGTGATTGGAACAAGCGTGTAATGAATGTCCTTTGGGTGGAAGACTTATGAGAAGTTACAGAGCAAAATAAGAGGAAAGACCCCCCCCTCAACCCTCCCTTTAGAAAACCCAATGCAGCTGCCCTACAAGGTTCATCTTTCAGGCCTGATGGAGTGGAGAAGCTCAGGATCTCATAACTGAGACTATCAGGATAAGATGTTATCAACCACAAGGAAGATGCTTGCCCAAAGCCCAGATGTTTCCTTTGGGATGGAATATTGCATTGTGCGTTGTTGGCTCCAGAGTTTTCGTATTTAAAACCAGTGAGGTTTTCGGTTGGGCATGAAAGTTTGAAAGTTTCATTTCGTCTTAAGTGTGGCTCCAAATCTTCATACGTTGAGTCTTAGTCATCTCGTCATGATAGGCAAATGTAAGTTATTGTGGGTCAGCTCAGGATCGTGACTTAGAAAGGGGATTTAAGCTCAAGAAGGGGTACAGGTTTGGGGTGATTGGAATACACTCTTAGTCAATCATGCTCATCGCCACATCTTGTTAATGTAACAGAGGAGACCATTAGCTTGTTGTTGTTAATTGCAAAGTCGTGTCTGACCCATTGCAACCCCCATGGACAACATTCCTCCAGGCCTTCCTATCCTCTACCATCCTCTGGAGTCCATTGAAGCTCATGCCGGCTGCTTCAGTGACTCCATCCAGCCACATCCTTCTCTGCCGTCCCCTTCTTCTTCTTTTGCCCTCCATCCTTCCCAGCATGAGGCTCTTCTCCAGGGAGTCCTTCCTCCTTCTCCTTAGGTGGCCAAAGTCTTTGAGTTTCCTCTTCAGGGTTTGGTCTTCTAAAGAGCAGCCAGGGCTGATCTCCTCTAGGACTGACCAGTTGGATGGCCTTGCAGTCCAAGGGACTCAGTGCAGGAGTCTTCTCCTCCAGCACCAGAGTTCAAAGGCCTCCATTCTTTGGTGCTCTCAGCCTTCCTTGTGGTCCAACCTTCACAGCCATCCGTTGCAACTGGGAAAACCACAGCCTTTGGCTATACACACTTTTGTTGGCAGGGGGATGTCTCTGCTTTTTAGTATTGTCATCGCTTTCCTCCCCAGGAAAAAGCCTCTTTTAATTTCTTGGCCACAGTCCCCATCTGCGATGATCTTGGAGCCCAGGAAAATAAAATCTGTCACTAGCCATTAGCTTACTGGAATGTTGGCTAAACAAAATAATAATGGTTAACTGTTTGTTTTTATCTCAATCTTTTCATCACTGCCTCTTCCCAATCTGTCTTCTTCCTCCTTTTTTTTCCCCCTGTTATTGGATTCCTGAGCCAAGAACATCTGACTTTGCAATGATCAGTTACCCAGATCCTTGGAAATAACACAAAGAATCTCATTTTTGCCAACTGAAATAATTATTTTGAGCCCTCCTGAATGGGTTCCAACCGAATCCTGGGAAGGGGAAACTGTAAATCCCTTTGTATATGCACACGAAATGAAGCATGTGCTTTAGTGCCCGTCTGCGCACAATGGCCAAGGCTGATGACCATGAATTTTATCTTGGACACAACCCGCATTTAAAATTAAAACGGGCTCCCCGTTGCTTTTATTTGTAAAATGATAAATGACTTAACAGTGGACCTTTTAAAAATAATAATAATATTTTTTTTTTAAAAAATTGGCATGGCCTGAGTGCTAATACATCACTTTCCAAGAGTGGTTTTGTGAAACTTCTTCTGCTCATCAACTTTTTTTGACAATTCTATGAAGCTTTAAAAGAACAAAGAATCGTTCTCGGCTGGACTGCATTGAAAATGAACATTTGTGCAGCTCGTGTACGGGGTGAAGAGGAAATTCCAGAATTGGGAGTGGGGAAGAAACCCTTCTAGATTTATAAAACCCAATCAATTAATATATAATAACAGAGTTGGAAGGGACCTTGGAGGTCTTCTAGTCCAGCCCCCTACTCAGGCAGGAAACCCTATACCATTTCAGACAAATGGCTATCCAACTTCTTCTTAAAAACTTCCAGTGTTGGAGCATTCACAACTTCTGGAGGCAATTTCTGTTCCACTGATTAATTGTTCTCACTGTCAGGAAATTTCTCCTTAGTTCTAAGTTGCTTCTCTCCTTGATTAATTTCCACCCACTCTTCTTGTCCTGCCTTCAGATGCTTTGGAGTATAGCTTGACTCCCTCTTCTTTGTGGCAGCCTCTCAAGTATTGGAAGATGCTATCATGTCATCCCTAGTCTTTCTCTTCACTAGGCTAGCCTTGCCCAGTTCCTGCAACTGTTCTTCATAGGTTTTAGCCTCCAGTCACCTAATCATCTTAGTTGCTCTTCTC